ATAAAAAGGTTCAGAGAATCTGGAGAAATCTCTGCATGAAAGCAGCAAGGCCGAAAAACCAACACTGAGTGCCCCTGACCTCTGATACCTCAAGTGGCGCTGCCTACAAAAACGGCTTTGTTGTGGAACTCTTCTGAAAACCATTGGCAGTGAACACACTTCCTCGCCACGTACATCTATAAATGCAAGTTAACATTCTACCATGCAAAGCGAAAGCCATAAATCAACAAGACTCTGAAATGCCACCGGCGTTCCTGCATCTGAGCTCATCTGAGACAGACTGACGCAAAGTGTGCTGTAGTCTCATGAGTCCATATTTGGTGCCTGAGCAGTGACCGCTGAGAGGTCTCTGTTGTTTTTGTAGGAATTCTTCTTCTTAATATTATTGATATTATGAGGGCCCGAGCAGCGACCACTTCTCTGGTAACTACATACATGCTCATTTTTATGATGCGGAATGACTTGGTGGCACACAACCAGTTGTTCCGCCATTTGTGTCTCGCAAAAGCATAAGCGACAGGTGGCTTCCAAGTTGGCTATCATTACATTTAATATTACGATTAGTCATTGGCGTGGCTGACTTTGGAGTTGACGTCACACATTGGGATTGCAATTGTAAATTGTAACATGATCAAGTTTGACTGTTACAACTGTTAGCCTTAACCCCACTCTTGTGCTGCTTTGATTTCATAGAGGGGAGCTGAGCTCTCTCTCAACACACACCGCACCATAATACAATCAGTCATCATAATATTTTGGAGACATCTGATCAGGAGAGAAGAATAATCCACAAACTAAGCCCGAACAGTGGTACGTGCGTACCACTTTTTAAAGAATGAATCGATCAATCCAATGATTATTTTATTTTTACAGATGACCTTAACAAAATAAAGTGCAATGATATATTTTGGTGATTCAAATGCAACCAAAACACTGCAAGTAACATCGTGTGCTGCAGTCAAGTCAAACAAACTAATGAGAGGAAGTATAAAGTAAAGAAGGAAGGAAGCTATTTCTTCCATAGCTGAAAGGGAAGGCATTCCAGTAGTTGCAGATTGCCAGCTTGGCCGTGTAGAGTGTGAGCATTCTATCTGATAAAATGTTTTTGACGTCATTCAAATCAACAGACAGTGGCCAGATGGATACTTTCCAAATCAGCATTCAACAAACAACTTTCTGATTGGTTTACGGGGAAATGACTGATATGTTTAAAGGGAAATGACTGATAGGAGGATTCTTTGTTGAGGCTTACCCTGAGTGACTTCTTCAACATTGCATTGATTCCAGTCAAACTAATGTGTGACCGGAGGTCTGTCTCGCCTCTGCTCCTGCCTGGCTGGTTGTTGGGCTTTGCCACGCACAATTAACAGGTCAACTCGCTTCAGCCTCTCCGCCTTGTTCTACTTGCACTTGTCGCTATGTGATGGTGCGGCAAGGCTGTCAGTGCTTTGTGATTTGGTCCAAGCCGACACAATGTGCATGGTGGTCTTATACAGGTCATGCAACCACCTGCTTTACATTGTTTGTGCGAGTCACGTGCGTAGTGGGGACACCACAATTTTTTGTGCAGTTCAGTGCATCATGAACTTTTTTTTTTAATTTTGAAAACAGTTTTGCCCTTATGTGAAGACGAGAACAAAAATAGCTATATTTTTTGGGTGTGTATTTTATTTTATTTATTTTCTCATTTAAAGTTGTGTCTGATGAAACACGCTCTAATTTGAATACACACAAAAAGAGATTGTAAGATGAAGCCAGGCTCCAAATTCTTTCTTCCAATGGTAAACACGACAAGCTGTGGGGCTAAGTTGGTGAAAACCTTTGATGAACCTGGAAAGGAGGCAGCGTTGACCTCTTAGACCAATGCTAGATATGGTGGTCCAGTCTTTTCATCAATAAACTGTACATATATTAGGGATGGCGGCCCGGTAGCGCCAGGCTCCAAATTCTTTCTTCCAATGGTAAACACAACAAGCTGTGGGGCTAAGTTGGTGAACCTGGAAAGGAGGCAGCGTTGACCTCTTAGACCAGGGGCCCCCAACCTTTTTTGCCACAAGTGGTTAGCACGTCGACTTCTCAGTGCAGAGGTACCGAGTTCAATTCCAGCCCCGGCCTTCCTGTGTGGAGTTTGCATGTTCTGCCTGTGCCTTTGTGGGTTTTCTATGGGTACTCTGGTTTCCTCCCATATTCCAAAAACATGCATGGCAGGCTGATTGAACACTTCAAATTGTCCCTAGGTGTGAGTGTGAGCGTGAATGGTTGTTCGTTTCTGTGTGCCCTGCGATTGGCTGGCAACCGGTTCAGGGTGTTCCCCACTTACTGCCCGAAGACGAGTGGGATAGGCTCCAGCACCCCCCGCGACCCTAGTGAGGATAAAGCAGTTCGGAAAATGGATGGATGAAAACAGTTTTGCCCTTATGTGAAGATGAGAACAAAGATAGCTTTTTTTTTTTTTGGTGTGTATTTTAATCTCATTTAAAGTTGTATCTGATGAAACACGCTCTAATTTGAATACACACAAAAAGAGATTGTAAGATGAAGCCAGGCTCCAAATTCTTTCTTCCAATGGTAAACACGACAAGCTGAGGGCCTAAGTTGGTGAAAACCTTTGATGAACCTGGAAAGGAGGCAGCGTTGACCTCTTAGACCAATGCTAGATATGGTGGTCCAGTCTTTTCATCAATAAACTGTACATATATTAGGGATGGCGGCCCGGTAGCCAAGTGGTTAGCACGTCGACTTCACAGTGCAGAGGTACCGAGTTCAATTCCAGCCCCGGCCTTCCTGTGTGGAGTTTGCATGTTCTGCCTGTGCCTTTGTGGGTTTTCTATGGGTACTCTGGTTTCCTCCCATATTCCAAAAACATGCATGGCAGGCTGATTGAACACTTCAAATTGTCCCTAGGTGTGAGTGTGAGCGTGAATGGTTGTTCGTTTCTGTGTGCCCTGCGATTGGCTGGCAACCGGTTCAG